TCACAACGCTGGACCCTCCGTAACTCATGTATTGTGCCCCCTTGCGGCGTGGTTCCTTTTTGTTGTCAAGGTCCCGTGCAACCACGGCACGTCTCCAGTTTCGCCTTTTTTTGTCGAGGTCCTGTGCGACTAAGGTGCGTTCCGCGCCCACAGGCTCCCCCCCCTTCCCCCCCGCCCCTTCGTTTTTGGTCTCGTGTCATTACGGTGCCTCTTCATTGTGGCCCTGCGTTTTTTGTTGGTGTCTCGGCCTTTGGTGGCATCGGCTAGTTTTGTTTGTCCGCCATAGTACATGTGCCTTTTTTTTCGAAGGCCCTCGCTCGGTTGGCCTAGGCCGACCCCCTTTTTTTTTTTGCCCGCAGGTCCGTTTTCTCTGTTTTTGTGTCGAGGCCATTTTTTTTTTTATCACTATGCTGGACCCTCTGTAACTCTCTCTCTTGTGCCCCCTTGCGGCGTGGACCGGTTCATTTTTTTTTTTTTAGGTCCGGTGCCACCACGGTGCCTCTCCATTTCGGCCTTCCTTTTTCTTACTACAGCATTTTGGCCTATTGTGCCAGTAGTACCGTTTCGTTTGCCTTGTATACCACAGGTACTTGGTTTCCAAGGCCTGCTCTTGGTTGGCCTGGGCCGAGCCTGCTTTTTTTATTTTGCCTACCGGTACCTAGTTGTCTAGACACCAGTTTCACCTCATTGCTGTTGACGTTCGTTGATGTTTTTCGTTGTCTTCATCTTCAGCCTCTCCGTTTTCACCTTCTCCTTTGTGCTTCGTGTCCCCATCAACACCTCTAAAAATGCTAACTTTTATCTTCTTCTACTCGGCCTCGGATACCGAAGGGATTTACCTTAGCGTGGTACCGGCCGACCTGCTACCTAAGTGTTTCCACTACTCTAAGTACCGCGGGCTTCTTTTCTGCGGCCACTTGAGTGTTTTCCTTGCTGTTCTAAGTGTGCGGGTTTACCCCGCCACCTTATAATTCTTCCACCGCGACCCTCAAATGGCGCGGCCACGGCTAAGTACCGGCCTTCGGGCCTTCCGACCAACCACGCGCTCTTGCTGGTCACACACACACTCAGATCGACGAGCACACAAACAGGCCCACAGACCAGCAAGCGTGCACATACTCAGACTTACGAAATGGGCTCGGACCGCTGGTCGGACTGGGCCCCGATACTGTATTTATACCTGGACTGCTCCTGTTTTCTCAACACAGGAGCTAGCCTAGTAGGTTTCCGTATCGATTACCAAGCGACAGACTCGAGAATCGAGTCCGCCTGCTTGTGGGCTAGCTCCTTTTGGCTGGAGCTCGGTTATAGCCCCACGGATATCTTATTTCCGACCCAAGTTTGACTGCAAGACTTGAACTCGTGACCTCAGGGTTAGGATTAGAGGGAGTTAGTTAGTTAGCTAGTATGCCCGACACTTGGTAGGATAAGGAAGATAGAGAGTTAGTTT